TTAATTAGCTTTTGAGGAGTGAGAATTAATTAAACCGTAACAGCACGGTGAATCGACTACCTTTGCAGACGGTATTGAAATACGACAGTTCTGTACGTTGGGTTGCTATGGCGTAAAAGGAACATTTGTCTACGATGGATTTCTACAAATGGATTAGACTGTTAATTAATATCACTGACGGGCACGAATGATTCTTGAATAAGGTTAGATCTGTCTGACACGTTATTATGATCGCTATTACAGATAGGAAGTATTTATGAAGCATACACTGAGGCTAAGGAACAGTATTCATGTGGTGTACGGGTGATTGAATATATTAAGCTGCTTTCAACAGTTAAAGTTACTTAAATAATTACTTAATTAATTATAAAGTAAAGTCATTAGTAAAGTCAGCAATATTGTCACGTATAGAACATTTAGGACATATTCAACACTGGAACCCATACATGATATGAACATAACATTGAGTTGGCGCATTTTTCGAACCGTCGACATTGATTGATCATGTGATTGTATCTCAAATGAAAGCGAAAAAAACCTTTTCCATATTCATAAGAAACCACTGCCAAAAGCAGAGTAGATTTTACAGTTCCAAGCATATCATAAGCATGGTTCGACGAATCATCATCAAAAAGTGATGCTACCAGATGTTCGCGAGTATCCTGCCCAAACCGCTGGCTCCTGTCACATGCAATAATCAAGTCAATTGTTAACCTGAAAAAACAATAACACGGGAACATGCATATGTCTACCATAAAACGTTTGAAAGCTTTGCTGAGGTCTTGAATGTCACTCTGACCAAACACCTTTTGAGCAATAGTGACTTTTTTTAGTGAATGTGTGACTTTCTTTTAGAAAGGGCATGCTAGATGGTACCTCACAAGTTGTGAAATGCAGACACCAAAGCCTGGAGCTGCTCAAAGAAATATGTACTTCAGAAGACCCGACATGCTTAATGAAGATGTAAACACGTCAAGACCTCTTTCGAATGTGTAGCCTGAAAGGGTCTGAGTGGTGCTTTTAGGTGTATTTTAACGTAATATCGTCGACACTCTCACAATGACGTTTGATCCTTTTTGAATTCATCCACATGAAACCACATTCCATATTCATTAGAAATCTCTTCCAAACGCAGAGTTGATTGTACGATTTCGACTATGTATACCAGCACGTGTTTATGAATCACTATTAAATAGCGATAATGCCAGGTGGTCGCGAAAAGGAGAGCATATCCTGCTCCACCGGTAGCACCCGTTACAAAAAACATGCAAAAGCAAGTCAGTTGTTCAACTACAAAAAGCACAGGAACATATGGTACTACTTTAACAGATGGAGCTTGATGATGGTTGCGTGATGGGCACGAAAGGTGAATGCACGCACGATATAAAATACGATATTACATTGCTCTATAATGTGATCACTTTTAGATAAGACAGTGAGTGTGTTGGGTTTAAGGCCGCTTTTAACATTATTCCTGTAATGTCACGGCGTTAGCCAAGACAGAAATAGAAATACTTTCAAAACTACATGGTATATTTATTAAACCCCAATTTGTGTATATACAACCGAGAATTATATTATGGATAGTGTGAGAATCCAAAATGGAGATTAAGACTTTAATAAGTAAATAAAAGGTGGGCGTATACTACTCCACCAGTGGCACCTGTCACAAACTAATGCAAAGGCAAGTCCACTGTTTACCTGAAACAACACAGGAACATACATGTATGCTTAATGTCAAAATATGGAATTGCATCGGGCCATTGGAAAGCTGAATCACTCTTGTTATACAGTCCTGTGGTGAATCTTTTGTCACTTTGAAAGGTACGCACAGTCGAACCATCAATGTTCAAAAAGGATTTTATTCTTTCAAACCGTTTCAAACTAGCCCAAACTTGTTTTGTCGTTTATATTTGCAAGTCCTTCTAAATTAAAACGAATCACACTTTTCAAGGCCAAAAGTAAGACCCAAGCATGATTTCAAACTGCTGTGTTAAGACATACTTATTTTCTTTCATTGTTACAATCAATTTGTACATTCCTATTTCCGTTGAACATATCAGGTCCATACACCTCTGTTTCGATGTTATTTATCGATCGTGTTCCGCACTTTTATAATTTGCTACACGATGCCACGTATTATAAGAGAATAATATGGCTCCTACAGGAGATATCCTTGTGTTTGATATTGCCTTTCTGATCACCCATTGGTCGTTTGACATGAGTGCTTAACAGATAAGATGCTGAACTCTTCGGTTGATGATGATGTGATTGCAAGAGCAAATAATTCCATAGTTGTGACGTCAAAGACAACGTGACGTCACTTTTAACATTTGAAGAAAAAATAAGCATTTTGTTTAACTTTGCATTTTTGAATTTATAAACATAGACACGTGCAGTATTAAAATAGTGGGTTCTCACAGTTATCGTTACGTTACATGACATATGTAGACCGCAAAAGTTTCAGTTTAAGGGAGCGCAATTTGATATCGGATAAAAAAACCCCAACTAACCCTCGTGTTTGGTTCATAATATAAGCAACAATATCCAATCAATAATTATAAGAAATTAATGCCATAAGAAATGTTTGTGTGTGTGTGTGTGTGTGTGTGTGTGTGTGTGTGTTCGTGCGTGCGTGCGTGCGTGCGTGCGTGCGTGTGTGTTTGTGTCGAATTGCGGCTGAGTATGGATGGTACTTGAATGGATGTCACTGGTATTCGTGTATATAATGTATGTCATCAGCTAACATGACATAACGCCTTTGGGTTGCATTATGGAAGGTGGCAGGTGACACGAGTGAGTGTAGTTTCACGCCGCCTTCAGCAGTATTTCCAGCAATACCAAGACCGGGGATGCCAGTGCTTAGATCAACCAAAGAATATGATTAATAACATCCATAAATAATAATTGTCATGCATTTTGATCAAGTGGTTGAAAAGATGACAAGTTCGTTCTAACACAAATGAATCTCCTGTTTGGTGTATGAATCTTGTACATTTTGTAGGAATTGAATGTTTCAAGTCTGCTTCTCATATTCTGTTTGCTCTATTCATAAATTTATGATTTTTACTTCATAAGCATCTTTTCATAAGGCCACAATTTTTGGCAAATGAAAAATGATGCAAAAACATCGAAACGTGAGACATCACAGAGAAATGAAATTGCAAATATCAAGAAAGGTCGTTTCAATAACTACAAGACGGCATTACCCTGTTGTAGTTTAGAATAATATTATAAACGTATAACCTTTTGCTTTTTTGAGGCGAACAAGGAACCAACATATAACATTTAACAGTGGTGATGTCCCGAAAATGAGAACAATAATTTTAAAGATTACTTACATCAAATTTTAAAATATTAGTAAAAATGTTAGTCTATGAAAGCTATACTCGTCGTTTACAGAAATATTTGACTTTACATCTCGAAACTGTTAAAGTTTGACATGAGGAACCACATACAAGACATATTATTAGCATCATCGTTATGATTATGATTATTATTATTATTATTATTATTATTGGGTTTCATGTCAAACAACAACACGAGACGGACTTTAAATGGAAGATTTTCAAATTTTTATGATTATTTACCATTCAGGACCAAGAAACATTTTCGTTTCTGCTTTGATTATGTTTATTTGACACATGTATAATAACATTGTTTAGTTGGTATTGATGTATGTATACATGTATGTAAATGCGCTAACACTACCGTACCATCTATAAAAGGGGTTTTGATAATGATGTAGAAAATGCATTTCAATTTGAAATAGTTCCATGTGACCAAGATACTTGCAGCTTCTGTTGGGAAACCAACCCAAGCTAGACGAGATGCATGGTTTTGATATAGCATTTCACATATGCAACGTCTAAGAACATCTCCAACAGTGTTGGTAATTGTCAATTAAGGCACATCGTTGTCTGCATACACAATGGCAGTATAGAACGCAGCTTCATAAATATAGTCCATTAGTAGACGTAGAAGTCATAACTCAATGACCGTAAATGCATGACTGATGACGGTTATGTAACAGGTCGCTGGAAACTTTAAGCTTTTGATCCTTTCTCGACTGTCTCACTGATGCATACACAAACAGAACTACTGCGTGTTAGCTTGCTTGATCCTACACTAAGACCCCTCTTATTGCAGCCGACCTGCTGGATTCAAATGTTAATGCAATATCGAGATTGAAAAACGTATCTGTGTTATTATCCATGCATAATAGAGACTGAGTGAGGCATAAGAAACTCCGATCAAATTACGAGCGAATGATCTTACTGATATCAGTGTATTTTGTCTCGGAGGTTTGCACTGCTCTGGTGAATTTAACAATGCATTGAATAGCGATTGTCTGAATACGTTTACAAGACATGAACGTTGGTCACTTTCGTTTTATGATTTTGTTATGCTTTGATGGAAAGAAGATTTGAAGACAATAATCATGGAACTCTCATTAATTTCTGATCAGATTAAACAAAAGTTTTTTAAAAGTACATCTGCACAACATAAAATGTTTCTTATACCCATAAACAGTAAAGAAACATGGTGTCTGTTCCTTCCTGCTTAACTGCCATCTATTCTGAAAGAAGAACCTCTCACCATCCTTTCGAAACCATAAAATATTATGAGCAAATGAACACAGTCATAAGGGCAATAAGGCAATTGCAGTTCACACTTCTTGTTCATGTTCGTTTTCTTCAAGATGTCAATACATTTTGGTATCTGTATCAGTGAAGACTCTGGGATTGGGTACCATCGTCACCAAGATGACTGTAAAAGATCATTTCTAATTAGAATAAGCATTTCAGTTTTGGGGTTTGGTTGTCAGGTTATCCGAATATTTGACAACATGATACCGTAAGATATACTAAGTCACCGAATGGCACGTAATTAGTGTACTGATTCAAACACTGAATCTCATAACCCGATAATTGTTACCCATCATTCGTTAAGTTGCATTGAGACTAGTTCGTTTTTAAAATTTATTATTTACACCACTGACATCAAACATCAGTCAATATCAATGCATAACATATATCAGTAATATCGTTCATTGGCAGAATATATCAAGGGTTTGCAAAACGTTTCTGTTCTACGTAAAGCCAAACGCTTGTAGAAAACACCGGCTTTCTTAATAACACGAAACCGCTGACAGACAGTCGTAATAGCTGGTGAGACATTTTAATTTGATCGTCTCTATCCGGATTTCCAGCGGACAGTATCAATCAGAATATCTCTCCATATACGGTTTGCACATTTGTCTGGAACAGAAACGTTCAATGGGTTGTCAGCTCTCTGACAAACTTTCACTATAGTTACACGCTGTCACCTGGATCTGATGCACTTGCATTGAAATTGGCTCAGAATTTGACTTGTTCAAAAGTTTTTTCGGGCGACGGATTGTTAAGAGTTTTCGGAAGGCAAAACGAAAGTCTCTTGAAAAGAGAGCGTAAACACATGGATTGATGGCGGAGTTGCAATAACCGAGCCAGAAGAACACTGAGAACAATAATGCAGGAATACATTCCTCACAGAAAGCACCGACAAGGTATATGGTGAAGAAGGGAAGCCAGCACATAATGAATGCTCCCACAATAATTGCCAACGTTTTGGCTGCTTTTTTCTCGCGGTTGAATTTTCTCATATGATTTTTTAGATTTTTACCCTGTTTTTGTTGAATGGCAGCCGCGCGTCTATTCACGGCACTCGTCGACTGGCCATTTACCATGAAACGAATACGCGTTCCGTTCATATCTTTCCGCCTCTCCCTCTCGGTTTTCTTGGCGTCCACACCGTTACTTTGAACTGACAGTGTGCTGCGTTCACCACATCTTTCTGTTCGTTTCTGACCATTCACATTTCCATTTTCGGTATAATTTTGATACTTTCGGAAGCGGCGGTGATATTTGGGTTTCGTTACAGGCGAATGGTGAGTATAGGGCTCACTTTGGAATGACCTCTCTCTCTTTAAGGATGAGTATTCGTTCGATTTTGTTGGGGACATGTCCGAACTAGCTGACTTGGAAACAGATGGTTTGCTTGCCGCACAACTGCCACCACGGTGTACGCGTAATGTCACTGCGTTTTCTCTACTTAAACTATTCGTTTCTTTTGATGTCTTGGTTGTTAGCACTCCTTTTTCATATGCTGAGATGGTCTTCACAGCAGCACGGTAAATCCTGATATAGAAAAACACCATCACTAGCATGGGTACATAGAATGAACCCATCGAAGCGTAAATTCTGTATCCTTGGGAATTGGTGAGTTCACACTCATATGGCTGCACAACACATGAATCTTCTGTGCTTTCCGCTGTTGGAGTAATATTCCAAATAGTGAATTGAGTTCCAATGAAAAATGTACCATTTGAATCTTCATCCAAGTCAATATACGACACATTGCTGTCAAAATCAGGCGGAGGTTCAAAAGGTATTCCACCTCCTTCGTTCCACCCGATAAGAGGAGGGAAACATATCAAAAACGAAACTGCCCAAATAAATGCTACGAGTAGCTTTCCTCTTTTCGATGACATTAAACCAGGGTATTTCATAGGTCGCGTTATGGCGAGGTAACGGTCAAAACTGATGCAGCAGAGATTCAGAATAGAAGCTGTGCACAACCAAACATCAATGGCTAGCCATATGTGACACCATGCTACCCCAAACACCCAAACATCAAGGACCTCTAAGGTTGCCGAAAAGGGCAACACGAACACCCCGAGGAGCAGGTCTGCACAAGCCAAATTGACTATGAAGATGTTGGTAACAGTTCGGAGTTTTCGTGTTGTTAACACTGCTGCTACGACCAAGCAATTTCCAAATATCACCATAAATATAATAACGGCAAGTAATAAACTTGAGAACACTAATCCGGCGTCCAAAGGGGGAAACGGGAGAGATACGGTGATGTTAATGCATCTATCAGTCTTGTTCTCCCTAGGGGGAAAGGCCACATTGTCCCTGTTTTCCTCTTCGATTGACAGATACGAAAACCCCTCCATCAGAATCCCGAGATGAGGAGCCCCCCTTCCAGGTATATGAAGTAAGTAGCTTGACAATGAAGCTCAATATTCACTTCACATGGTGTTGCTGACATACTCCGTACATTACCTTACGACATAGCAATAAAGACTGTCTGGTCGTGTAAATGCAATGTTCATGGAACCGTTCAGTCTCGTCATATTCCGACCACCAAATCCTCTAATAACACAATAGAATGGGATTATCCTCAGGCAGCCTTTGGTAATTTGGGTGGCGGTCTTGGCTGTTCCCGTGACATCCTTTCTGAACTTTCCCTCGTCTTCACGTTAGCCATGATAGATGTGTTTACATCCTAACCACAGCGGGAATAAAAGTATCCTTAAGCACTGTACCCTGTCATCTTGTGTATCTTCAATAGTAGGCTCTGCAAAGGAATAAAACATATATGTAAATGTTTATACAGGATAAGTTTAACCGCAAATGACACTAATCACATCAGGTTAAAAATCGAAACTTGTACACAGCAGAACTGTTTTATGTGAAAACAGGGAAGGCGATGTATTTACAAAGAAACATTCATCTCCACATTCAACAGCAACATGACACCTAGACATTCATAACGGCAAGGGAAACAAAAAGTGTAAACCAACCTCCATCGCGTTTGAAAGTAATAAGTAAAGTGCCACACTTGTTTCCTATCGGCTCCAACCGATCCAATAGCTAGCGAGACGAAGCTACTCTCTACTACAGAACTGCGAGGAAGCGGTGCCAGCTGCCCGTAAGAGTCTCATTCGTCGAAGATCAATACAGACCGAAGAAAGGACATGAAGGAAGGCGAGGCACTGGGCAACCAGCGTGGAGATTCAATGGTAAAAGTTTGGCATTACACGATAATGTTCTGGAATGTCTAAAGAACGTGGGTCATCATTTTTGGTAATTTTGAACGGAACTAGTCAGTGGGAGATTGGTTACGCTGTAAAAAGTACGAATCAATTTATGTTTTTAATTTCGATTGCCAATTCGATACTTTGAATATTCTTGTTTGACGGTATGTTTTACGTGGTAGAGAAATTCAAAGGGCTTCAGGGAATACAAAGTCCTTCTTCAGTGTTAAGCGTTGTTTCGTGCTTTACTTGGGTGATCTGGAGAATCATGTAGTTTTGCACCGTATCACGTTTTACTTGCTTGTACTTTTACTATGTTGTGGCATGTTTTACTGGGTTATATCGTGCATTACATATGCTACTTTGTTGTATCCAGTTTAACTGTAATGTTAACGAGTTTTACTCTTTTAAATCATGCTTTGCTGTGTTGTGCCATGTTGCGTATTGTACTTTGGTGCCTGTGTTGTACAATGCTGTCCGTGTTGTAATGTTGTCCGTATTGTACCATGCTATCTGTGTTGTACCATGTTGTCTGTGTTGTACCATGTTGTCTGTGTTGTACCATGTTGTCTGTGTTATACCATGCTGTACCATGTTGTCTGTGCTGTACTGGTGTCTGTGTTGTAACATGCTGAATGTGTTATACCATGCTATATGTGTTGTACCATGCTGTCTGTGCTGTACTATGTTGTCTGTGTTGTACCATGCTGTCTGTGTTGTACCATGTTGTCTTTGTTGTACCATGCTGTCTGTGCTGTACTACGTTATCTGTGCTGTACTATTTTATCTGTGTTGTTCTACGCTGTCTGTGTCGTACCATGTTGTCTGTGTTGTACCATGCTGTCTGTATTGTACCATGCTGTCTGTATTGTACCATGTTGTCTGTGCTGAACTGGTGTCTGTGTTGTACCATGTTGTATGTGTTATACCATGCTGTATGTGTTATACCATGCTGTCTGTGATGTACCATGTTGTACCATGTTGTCTGTGCTGTACTGGTGTCTGTGTTGTACCATGCTGTATGTGTTGTACCATGCTGTCTGTGTTGTAATGTTGTCCGTGTTGTATCCAGTTTAACTGTAATGTTAACGAGTTTTACTCTTTTAAATCATGCTTTGCTGTGTCGACCATGTTGCGTATTGTACTTTGGTGCCTGTGTTGTACAATGCTGTCCGTGTTGTAATGTTGTCCGTGTTGTATCATGCTGTCTGTGTTGTACCATGTTGTCTGTGTTGTACTATGATGTCTGTGTTGTACCATGCTGTCTGTGTTATACCATGTTGTCTGTGTTGAACTATGATGTCTGTGTTGTACCATGCTGTCTGTGTTATACCATGTTGTCTGTGTTGTACTATGATGTCTGTGTTATACCATGTTGTCTGTGTTGTACTATGATGTCTGTGTTGTACCATGCTGTCTGTGTTATACCATGTTGTCTGTGTTGTACTATGATGTCTGTGTTGTACCATGCTGTCTGTGTTATACCATGTTGTCTGTGTTGTACTATGATGGCTGTGTTGTACCATGCTGTCTGTGTTATACCATGTTGTCTGTGTTGTACCATGCTGTCTGTGTTGCACCATGCTGTCTGTGTTGTACAATGCTGTATGTGTTGTACCATGCTGTCTGTGTTGTACAATGCTGTATGTCATGTGCCATGTTGCCGTATTGTACTTTGGTGTCTGTGTTGTACAATTCTGTCCGTGTTTTAATGTTGTCCGTGTTGTATCATGCTGTCTCTGCTGTACTATGTTGTCTGTGTTGTAACACGCTGTCTGTGTTATACCATGTTGTATGTGTTATACCATGCTGTCTGTGTTGCACCATGCTGTCTGTGTTGTACCATGCTGTCTGTGTTGTACCATGCTGTCTGTGTTGTACCATGCTGTATGTGTTGTGCCATGTTGCCGTATTGTACTTTGGTGTCTGTGTTGTACAATTCTGTCCGTGTTGTAATGTTGTCCGTGTTGTATCATGCTGTCTGTGCTGTACTATGTTGTCTGTGTTGTAACACGCTGTCTGTGCTGTACCATGCTGTATGTGTTGTACCATGCTATATATGTTGTACCATGTTGTCCGTGTTGAACCATGCTGTCTGTGGTGTACCGTGTTGTACCATGCTGTTTGTTGTGTACCATATTGTCCACGTTGTACATTGTTGTCCGTGTTGTACCATGCTGTCTGTTTTGTACCATGTTGTCCTTGTTGTATAATGTTGTCCATGTTGTACCATATTGTCTGTTTTGTACCATGTTGTCCGTGTTGTATAATGTTGTCCGTGTTGTACCATGTTGCACCATGCTGTCTGTGTTGTACCATGCTATCTGTGTTGTACCATGCTGTATGTCTTGTACCATGCTGTATGTATTGTACCATGTTTGATTCTGCTGTATTTGCTTTCACTGCTTCATCGGGGTTTACTAGGTCGAATCTTTCTTCTCTAATGTTCCATCAATGTTCTGTTGCATCGAAACAGCAATGACTAAAGAAACAAAGGGAACTTATCGTAGGAACGTATGTATAACTATTGTTGAACTTCATATTAGAAAGAACATTTCTTTGTCATTGTGCAGTTCACAGAGTTCAGCATCCTGGCGGGAGTCCAGGCGAGTGAGTGAGTGAGTTATCCCAGTTATATAACGGCGTGTTGGCTTGATGTTGTAGAAAAGCCCGACGTATTGCAGGTCTCAGACGTTTACCACTTTGTTGAAACCCACGAGCACGGGTATGGTGCAGACACATCTAGAAACGTAATCGGGGCGACCTCTGCACAGCGATGTGCGGCACCTCAGACGACTGGACCACCCGTGACCACACCAACGGACAAAGCGACCTTTACTAAAACGGTGGTTAGCACATGTTGCAATGAACCTTGCCATCAATCATCAGTCACAATTTGAGTTAATAAATATTTTCTTTGGAATATAAGTGAAAGCGGAAATATGTATTTCTCAGTCGATGTTGTTAGACATCAACAGCATAAGTGACCTCTGCCAAATCTTTATATGATCTCGCAGTGAGAAGATAATACGTACCGACAACAACGTTTATTTTTCTAAACTACATCAAGACCGCTTCCGTGGTATAGTGGTCGTGCGTCCGCCCGGAGTGCGGAAGGTCGAGGGCTCTGTCCCGCGTTGTACCAAGAGACGTTAAAAGATGGTACTTGTTGTTACTGTCTGGCGCTCGGCATTAAGGGGTTTAAACACTGGTCGGCTCGGAGTCAGTATACTGTGTCAGAAGGGAGTATTAAAATTAAACTGCGACATGGTATCGCAGTGAGCTAGCACTATAAAATCAGCATTTGTCCGGACTAGTAGCAACACACACGCGAAACACGTGCGTGCACATCGATATATAAATGCAATAATCTTGGACGCGACGTTATGCCCCATTTCACCGTAACTATACTGCATTGTGGCGATACATGTAGATCAGATTACACTTTTAATCAACAAACCATACACGAGACGTGTGCCCTTGTAAACCTTGTGGCAGAGCGTCCGCCCGGAGAGCGGAAGGTCCGGGATTCGATCCCCGACCGCGTCATACCAAAAGACGTTGTTACCTTGTCTGGCGCTCGGCATTAAGTGGCTAAAATAAGGACTGGTCGGCTCGGAGCCAGTATACTGTGTCTGAGTGGGGTATTCATGTTAAACTGCGGCATGGTATCTCAGTGAGCTAGCACTATAAATCGGCATCGACTAGTACAAACAGCCACACACACACGTGCATGCACGTCGCTATAATAAGTGGAATAATCTTGGACGCGACGTTAAACCGAATTTCATCTCACCTCGCCTTGTTAACCCAAACAAATTCAAATGGCAACCTGGTTCTCGGATATATGTATCATTTAATACATGTTTAAACTTCGAGGCCTAGTTTGGTAGCATCATTTTCTTTTTTTCCAAATCCAAATTTCAATAAATTTCTCTAAATTTCGAGTTCTTTCTCTTTACTTGGAGTTTTTTACATTGCTTCGAGTTTTCCTCTCGTTATTTCGAGTTTCTGTTTTCGTTACATCGATTATTTTCTCGTAATTTCGATTTTTTTTTCTCTTTACTTCGTTTATTTTCTTGTAATTTCGAATTGTTTCTCTTTATTTCAAATTTATTTTATAAACTCGAAATTTCGATTTTCTTTCTCATGGCTTTCTCGTTATTTTAATTATTTCTCTTAATTTCAAGTTTATTTAAATAACTGATGCAAAGAGAATTTTTTTTAAAAACTTGGAGAAAATAATCAAAGCAACGGGAAAAAATCCGAAATTTCGAGTTTTTGAAACAACGAGAAAAATATCGAAATTATGAGAAAAAAATCGAAGTAACAAGAAAATAATTGAAATTACGAAAATATAATCGAAGAAACGAGAAACACGAATTTTCGAGAAAATTTACAAATAATTGACATAACGAGAAATTTCGATTTAAACAAAAATATGCTTCCAAAGTGGCACCATTAGGCTTTCGAACTAAACCGTTTACAATTAATGTCCTCTTTCATTCCAACTGAGCACTTTCAGACCATAATTGCTTTCAGTCAGTTTCAACGGAGTTAGGGGTGTGTGGCATTGCATGGGGGTAATAAGGGATGACTGGACTGGTATGAGGTGGGATGGGGGTTTGGATTCTAAAGGGTACATGTTTGTGGAGAGGCAATCTCGCAATAGTGTCTCCAGGTTGTTTCGAAGTCAACATAGCAACAAATCTGGTGAAACGTTTCTTTGGAGAAGTTACTCATGCAAGTTTGCCTTCATGCCTCTGAATGATGTTTTCATTAAAGGGACTCTCCGGGCTGATAAGCCAATCTAAGCAGGTCCTGATAACGGAGAATGCTACATCCTGACAAC